GATTGGCCCCCAGACTGTAAAGATCCAAGGACAAGGAACAGAGCTCAAAGCTCTGCTGAACAGTGGTCCCTGGAGACAACTGTCTCCAAAAAATCACACTTTGAGAAGCATCTAAAGTGCACACAGCATTTTGCAGGGATTCTTAACTTGGGACCCCTTGAAATCAGATATGATCTGTGTTTGTATGATAAGCAAATGTGCCTTTTCTAGAGAGATGGTCTTTATCTTCATCTGATTTTCTGAGACTCAAAAAGAAAGAGATTGGATCTGTACAACCTTAACTGCACAAGTGGTTGGTCAATATCCACATGCGGTAGTGGCCATACATAACATTTCCTCATAACAGACAGTTCTATTGGACAGCTGCCTTAAAGAAATGATTCACAGTAATGCAGGGAGATAACATTACCTGATGAGTAAGGCTGGACTTTGAACTCAGGCCTGGGGTTGAATCTAGACTTTGCCACTATAAATCATTTAACTGTGGGTACATTATTTAGCTTCTCCAAGGCTCTATTCTATCATCTGGGAAATATGAAATTTACCTCCTAAGGCCATGGCAAAAACTGAATAACCCAAATAAGTGTGAAGTGCAGTACCTGTATTATAGCAAGCTCTGAACAACTGAACAAGCAGTAGCTATAATCTTTTCTCATAATATTCATGCTCCATAATTCCTTAATGGGAATGTCCTCTGTTTTGGATAACTGGGGCTTTTGATTAATTACTATAAGTACCTATTCCTTGACTGCTTCCAGCCAGCCTTTTCAAAAATTCTTCCTAACTGAGTTATGAATCACAAACTAAAGAGGCTAAGATCTGTGGTATTACATGTAAGGACGGAGTTGGGACGGCTACTTGTATAGAGGACTGTGCAAGGTGCTCCATTAATTATTAGGATCACCATATTTATCACAGTGTTATATACAATAAGAGAAAATTGGAAACAATCTAAATGTCTGTCAATAGAGCACTGGAACACTGGCATATGATAAAACCTTTCAAAGTAATACACTTTCGTAAATACTTGTTGCTATGGCTAAATGCTCATGATATAGCATGAAGTGAAAATACAAAAAACACAGATCCAATTCCTGCCGCCCATGACCCAGCATCCACCTAGAGACACTTGTATAGATGTATGCCATGTTTAAACATGTCAAGAATATTCAGTCATAGCTCCAAAGTATAAACAAATCAAATGCCCATTAACAAGACCATGGACAGATTGTGATAGGTATATATACACATGGAATACACACAGTAATAAAAACAAAAAGCCCATAACTGTATGCAACAGCATGATGAATCTTAAAAAGATAATATGAAATTTAAAAAGCAAAACTCGAAAGAAAAAATGTGGTATGATTCTACTTATATGGAGGTCAAACTGGGGAAAAGTCAATAGTACTGCTTAAGGTGATAAACTATAAGGAAGAACATGGACTTGCTTACCATGCAAGTGGTCACTTCTGAGAGAAGAGGGTAGGGGAAGGACATGAGCGGGAAGGATACTGAGGCAGCTTTGGCAGTGTTCTGTTTTTTGGTTGGTGGAGGTGGTGAGTGATAGTTCCTTTATATTAACTGGGTTTTTAAAAAATTTTTTGAGGGGGGAGTAATTAAGTTTATCAATTTGTTTATTATCTTTAGTGGAGGTACCAGGGATTGAACCCAGGACCTAGTGCATGCTAAGCACACACGCCGCCACTGAGATATATACTCTTTCTCCCTACCACACACTTTTTTTTTGCTTTTTTGGGGGGAGGGGGGAAGTGATTAGGTTTATTTATTTGTTTATTTTCATTTTTTTTAATTTGGGAGGTAATTAGGTTTATTTATTTATTTTAATGGAAGTACTGGGGAATTGAACCCAGGACCTCGTGCATGCTAAGCATGTACTCTACCACTGAGCTACCCCTGCCCCCAATTGTTAAATTGTATCTTTATACCCTAATTTTAATTTCATAATTTAAAATGTTTTAAAATAAAATAGAGACAAAGGGAAAGTAAGTACAAAACTATATTTTCACTGTTATCTGAACTATACAGTTTTCTGCATGCATGGGAAAAACGATCAACAGTGCTATTTTCTGGGCAGCAAAATATAAAGAGATTTATACTGTCTTCTTTATACATTTTGTATTTTTCAGATTGGGATTTCAAAATTTCAAAATTTTTTATAATTAACAAGTATTAATTTTTATAATAAGAATTAAAACAGAACTACCAACTGCCCAGTTTTTCTCCTCAATTTATATCTATTTAATGGAGTCACTCCGGGGGAGAGAAATTTCTCTTCTATCTGCTAGAGAGAAATAGTGAAATCAATACAAGACACCACCACAGGTCTGGTTATTTGTGCTAACGATAAGGCCTTAAAGGGTTCAGCTGATGGAAACAAGGAAAGATACTTTCCAGACTATCCCAGAACTCATACAACTCTCTGCCTGTTCTCTCTCTTTCAGGGCCTTGGAAAATGAGGTCTGTGTCAGTTACACAGTATAATTCATAATGAGACAAATCTAGTGGCTGAGTCTGATTATCTGACATAATCCAAGAATATACACTGTAAGAGGCTCTCTGCCTTCCATTAAAGAGAAGTCAGTTAGTGCCTGAGCTACACTACATATGACTTCTTTTCTAGATCTCCTCTATGATAGGGAGTAAACATTTATCAAATGGTTTGTTAATTAAACTGAGTGTCCTGGAAGCCATATGGGCTCTTTTTCATGAATGACCCAAGGCTTGGGAATTCCAGTACGTTACTTTATATAACTTGGCCTTTGACGACCTTGAAGACTTCCCTTTAGTGATCTATGTACGCTTGCCTATACAGTCATTCGTCTCTCGGTATCCACAGCGAGACGTAGAGCAGTGGGGAAGCCTAACTTGGCTCCAGGACCCTTGCTGAAACCATGCTCAAGTCTGTTACACAAAATGGTGTAGTATTTGCATGTAACCCGACACACATCCTCCTGTATACTTTAAATTATCTCTAGATTACTTGTAATACCTAATACAATGTAAATACTATGTAAATATAAATACAATGTAAATGCTATGTAAATAGTTGCTGGTCCCTGTCAAATTCAAGTTTTGGTATTTGGAGCTTTCTGGAAAAAAAATTTTTTTCTGAATTATTTTTGATCTAGGCTGGCTGAAACCTTGGATGCAGACCCAGGTATAAGGAGGGATGACTGAACTCAGCATCTATGATTAGACAACAGGCCTTCATGACAAGCCTGTAACTTCCCAAAGCATTCTTTATTCAGTTATTTTTGGACATTTTATAGTTTTTCTCTTAAGAATATTTTGTAAATGGTAACTAAAACTCACTTTTAAGAATCACCTATAAACATCCTGGTTTTAAAAAAAAGGACACAAAAAAATTATTTCCCAAGCTGTCAGATCACTAACATTGTTTTTGGAAGAAAGTCTAACGACCTATGAATGCTCACCACCTCTCAGCCCCTTTCAGAGAAAAATGTTGGTGGTTACTACACACTGGGGGCCATGTTTTAAAAAAATTTATTCAGTTTACTTAATAAATTGAATTAGTTAACTGTAATTAAATAATTAAAATTAATTTATATTAATTTAATAACTTGGGTGGCTGGGGTTTTTGAGATTAAATTGAGTAAAAAATTCATCTACTGTTTTATACTTGTAACAATCATGTAAAGTAGCTCAGAGTAGTTGTGATTTGCCCAAGTACACAGAACTAGTAAAAAGCTATACTCTTTAATGACACACTCCTTAATGATAACTTGTTTCTTTTTTTCTTGAGGAGGAAATTTCTTCTTGTGTACTCTTCTTCTTCTTTGGGTTTATCGTGTGTGGAACTCTCTGTTCTTTGCTTTTGTGCCTTATTCAGCATCTTCATCCTTCTTGCAGAAGGTAATAACTAGTTGTAGTACCCAGATGTAATAATTCATTGTATGGGAGGATATAGATGGATTAGTGATGTTGAGCAACTTTTCATGTTCCTGTCAGCCGTCTGCATTTCCTCTTTTGGGAAAATGTATGTTCAGTTCTCCTGCCCATATTTTAAATGGGTTGGTTGGCTGTTTGCTTTTTAACTGAAGTACGGTTGATTTAAAATGTTGTATTAGTTTCTGGTGTACAGCATGGATGGACCTGGAGGGCATTATGCTAAGTGAAGTAAGTCAGACAGAGAAAAACAAATACTGTAAGATATCACTTACATGTGGAATCTAAAAAAATACAACGAACTAGTGAATATAAAAAAAAGAAACAGACTCACAGATGTAGAGAAGGAAGTAGTGATTACCACTGGGGAGAGGGAAAGGGAAGGGGCAAGATGGATTGGAGTATTAAGAGGTACAAACCATCAGGTATAAAATAAGCTGCAAGGATGTACTGTACAACATGGGGAATATAGCCAAGATTTTATAATAACTATAAATGGAGTATAACCTTTAAAAATTGTGAATTACTCTATTGTATACCTATAACATATAATATTGTACATCAACTATACTTCAATTTTTAAAATATATTATAAAATAAATATATAAATAATTTTTGAAAACAGACACAAAGGCCAAAAAAAAATTAAAATGCTATCTCCCTAAATCCAGTGGGGTGAGGAGGAAGGTGCAATTCAGAAATAGCTTCCAGGTTTTCTCCTCTTTTTGAAACAGGGATGAGAAATGTTTCACATATTGACCATTTCGGCTCTCACTGTCTCTCGATTTTCCTATCAACCTCATCTACTTCTGGGGTCTCTTTTCTTTTTCCATTTTGCCCTAAGGGTGTTAACTTTTTCAGTTGTCTGCAAGAAGTTTACATTCTAGGATCACCTCCCAGTTGTGGGAGACAATGATTCCTCCTTTCCTTCCTCATTTGCTTCTTCTGGCCCGGCCCATTGGGCCCATTCCAGCTGAGACTCCCCACCCCTTGAGTCTCTGAGTTAAAGCTCCTAATATCAAGGCTCCCTCAGAGTGAGGGCTTCCTTAATCCTGTCTTGGAAGGTAGGTCATTTTTCGCAGGAAGGAGAGGGCATTGGAATTTGCTCTGAGTCCAGATGGTTATGCAAGATGCCAGGAGGAGGAAGCTGAGAGGGGAGTTGGTGAGTCACAGGAGAGAAGCTGCACAGCTTGGCTAGCAACAAGCCTGTAGAGCAGCGAGGAAGCCTAAGCCACTAACAAGGTAAGGAGAGAATATTTTCTGGGTATACCTCCAAAGTAGGGCCATTTTCCCCTGGCGATTGGAGCAGAGTATCACAGAACCTGGGGCAACTAAACTGGGGACTTGGCGGGGAAGGTCGTGGAGGAGGGTGAATCAGAATAACCTGGACAATTTCCCCCCAAAAGCACAAGCTGCCTGCCAGCAGCTCCCTATCACCACCCAGCTCCATCCCTAAAAGAGTCAGAAAGAGCCTAGAGTCTGAGTAGGGCTATTCTGATGTGTATTTTGTCGCTGGTCTCCTTGATGCATTTTTCATTCGGATGCTGGCTTTGGACTTCAAGTCTCTGTAGCTTCTCTGCTCAGGTGTTGGGGAGTGGGGACCAGAGGTGATGGAACTACAGGTTTTCTCTAGCTCAGGTGAGATTTAGTGTGATAATTTAACACTCTCAGACTTGGGACCCAAAAGACCTGGGTCTGGTCAGTCAGGGCTATTTCTATCATTGAGTCAATTTATTAAAGTTCATTTTACTAATTCATAAAATGGGAGGTGTTGATCATCACTGTTTTATACATTTAATCAGACTGCTGTCATTACTGTGGCTAAACAGGGCTTTCAAAGTTGTGGAGCGCCTTTCAGATGTAAAATCAGATTAAATTATGAGCTCAGCAAGTCAACCGAGGTAGAAGAGAATTCTGTCTTGTATGGCCCTGGACAAGTCTGGAACTTCTAACTGGAAGAGAGATACTTTTACATGTACAAAATAAAAATATCTTGTCCTGCCTTCCTTATGCAGGTCACCCCTCAAACAGTAAAAAAACGCTCTACAAATGTTTGTTCATTCAGTCATACACTCAACAGATGTTTCTTAAGTCCTATATTGGTGATAGGCACCATCGTTGTTACCAGGGACACAGCAACTGCAAACACCTTTCAGTCTAGTTAGAGCTTGTTGTTACATGGATATACTTTGTGCAGGAGCTTGTCTCACAGGTTTCCAGGTTCTGCAGCTGTATGTATAGATGTAGGTTTCCCCGACCCAGCTCTGTTCTCTCTCTGCATAAATGTCTTCTGCCATCTCTAATTTCTGGTTTTGGGGGCAATCTCACTGGGAAATCTAAGTTTAGAAAGTGGCAGCAGCTGGGATCCAGGGCTCTTAAATTGATGTCTGTTTGGTTTTTTTCCTCAGAATTCCTCTTTTTTTTTTAAGGCTACAAAAGGTATGGACTTGGAGGTCATTTATAATTCAGCCCTCTGTAATCAGACTGCTGGGTGAGGTCGCCCATCCTGGTGCCTCACGGTCCTGACTTCGGTGCTATGTCAGTATTACCCTTGGGTCATGTTTTTCAAGATCCTAAAGTTCTCATGACTTTCAATGATGGACTGTCCTTTGTGTGCTAAGATGATACCACTTACCCATAATTCGGGCAATGTGTTTTTAATTTAGGTTTTTGGGTGGAAACGATGGGATGTGCTGAGGGCTTTTTCCTTCTATTAGGAAGGTTAGAGCAAGGGAAGTATTGTGAGTAGACTGCTGCCCTGCAATGGGTCTTTAATTTCTTACTAATTAGTATTTTTTTAAAATAATGTTCATGGTTTATTCCCCTAGTTCTAATTAATACATGCTTAGGATAGAAACTATTTTTTTTTGGAGTGAGGTTAATTGTGTCATATTGCTTCCAAACTATGCCTCTGACTTTATTAATCTCTTGCTTCATGCAGTTGAGACTTCACTTCTTATGCTCAATGCCCAGTGAAATCACCTGAATTTTAGAAACTGATACTCAAGAGACAGTCGTGTGCATTTTAGAAAAAGACAAGTTTCAGTTTCTTCGTGGATCTCATTCAGGTATCTGATTTCTAGTAATAACTATGGCTCTTTGCATACTTAACTTTTTATTTATTCATTTATTCAACAAGCATTTAATGATCCCTAATCACTTATACATTTTATGTGCCTGTAAACAAGATAAGACACAGCCTTTACAGCAGCCCAGTGGGAGAGACATTCATCTACCGCTGTTTACTACAGCATGAGAGATGGATGTAAATGGAAAGTTTAGGAAAAAACTAAATCTTGGGAGGAAGCGAGATACCTTTCAGGGAGAAGGCCTACAGGTGGGCAGCATCTTGAGGAAAAAGCAGTTATCTTGCAAATGTCTCAGGGCTTCTCAATAACAGGGCAAGCGGGGAAGAACCGAACGTAAAATCTGGGTCCTAGGGAACCGAAAGGGAGGGGAGTGACAGGAGATCAAAGATCAGATTATGGAGGGCCCTGGGCACAAGGATTGGGGATTTACTCCTGGATGTGTCAGAAAGTTATTGAAGGATTTTAAGGAGGGGAGTGATAGGCTTGTGCTTTAAAAAGATAGGTTTTGGCAGCAGTGGGTGAGAAGGAGAGCTGACAGGCTGTTGGGAGAGGCTACTTATTATCAAGGCCTGACTAGAGATGAGCAGATTCAGGATTTCATAACAGGGAGGGCAGGCGGGGTTCAAGCGTGCAATCAAATAGCCAGAAAAGAACACACAGGAAGGTGGTCTTGGGACTCTGAGATGAAAGTTAAGTCACAGACGTCTCATAAATGTTTACTAACCCCAAGGACTTAACAGAGGAGGTTAGTACAGGACAGCTGGGAAGAGTGGTGGTTAGATTAGAAGGGGTTACCATAAAAAGCCATGAGTGTACTTTTCTTTACAGAGCCACCTCTAGCACTGACTCCAGTCACTGCAGAGGGGAGCTTTCCCCTGAGGCACGTTCTAAAGTATTCCCTGGCTGTTCTGATCACCCCCATCAAGGGTTGCTAGATCCAGGATGTGTGTAGATCCCAGGGACAAGAGAGGGGACTCACTTTACAAAATCATACTTTCCTTCTAGCCAGGGAAATTGCTTATGGAAAGAAAAAGAAAAGAAGTCAGAGGGTTTCCATGGGGATTCCTGAGAACCGTGGTCAACTAAAGCCTGAGGATGACTGGGGACAAGCTAGAAGGCTAGGCTCCAGCTCTGGGAGAGAATGGGCATGAGGCCAGGAGGTAGTGGCAGGCAAGGAGGGCTCAGAGCACTCGAGCCCATTCAGGACACTGAGTTGGCCCGAAGCCAGATGGGGGAGGGATGGTGGAACTGTGAAAGGTCTACATCGTTAATCCCTAGGAAATGTTAGCTTTTTCCCCAGCTGATTATTGGCCCTGCATATAAAATTCTACCACAGTTTCCTTATAATTGTACACAGGTCAAGTTCTTTACTTTCCTCTCTTTTGTTCCATTATTTCTTATCTTTGTTCCAAACTTTTCCTCATACTCATATTGCCTTTGGGAGCAGATTTCTTGCTAGTCATTTCCTCAGTCCTTGGTTGGGCGGAGGTAATTCTTGAGCTATTTATCAAAAATGGCATAGTTTCTAATCATTTCCTCTTGGGCTCATATCTTAGCTGGTCCTGTTCTAAATTTCAGGACCATGACATGGATTACCATTTACTGAAATTTTCCTAGCATACAGCAAGAATGTTTTTTGGCATCAAGGAGAGATGATCCTCACTGGATCCTTTTGGCACATACAGAGGAAGTGCATTGTTGTAAAGAATGGAAGAGAGGGTTTTCTGGGCCACCGCCACACAAGATTTGGCTGAGGTCATCACACACTTCCCAGAAGGTTCAGGGGACTTCCATGGGGAACCTATGAGCTGGCCTAGTGTGCTCTATCTCTTCAGGAAGCAGGCTATAAACTCCAAGAGTCACATCTGTGGATGTCCAGTTTATCCTCTAATATCTGCTCCCTAGAATCTCTGGAGCGCTAGATGTAGACAGTGGTTTATAACCAGTATAAAGGCTATCTGGACAACAATACACCAAAGATAGACATACCTACACTCTTTGACTCAGTGATTTCACTTCTGGGGTGTTAGCTTACATACTTGTATAGTGATGTATGAACCTAAAGGTCATTACTTAAGTTTTTGAAATGGCAAAAGACTGAAAATAACCCAGAAGCTCATCAGTGGGGAAACTGGTTATAAATAAGTTGTGGTATATCTATACAATAAATTCTAGGTAGTGGGAAAAAGGAATAAGGAAATGCTTGATGTACTGCCATGGCAAGCTCTCAAAGACATATCGTTAACAAAGCAAGGTACCGCACAGCGTGGATAACTTGCAGCCTTCTGTGTAATAAAAAGGAGAAAAATTCAGAATATACATACATTTGAATTTTCTTGTATATACATAAAGCAACTGAAAGGACACATTAAAAAATGAACCCAGTTGCTGTTTGGGGGCAAGCTGGGAAATGGGCAGATAGAGGACAGGTGCTGGAAGTAGGCTTCTCACTGCACAGTGATGCTGAAGCATCAGCTAGTGGATAAATACTGGCTGTTAGTAAATGGAGAAGAGGTTAGTGATTCAGCAGCTGCTAAAATTCTTAGTTGTTCTTTCCCCTCAAAAACCACTGTGACCCCCTTAAAAAGCATGTCATTAGCCCTGTTTATAAATAGCTAGAAATTTTCTTATTTATGACTATAGGCCTCCTCCAGAGATATAACTGTTGTTACAGGATTTCCCCTTGCCTATCATTTAATATGTGAAAGACCAGAAGTGTGACAGGCTGGCCACAGGCCGGCAAGCACTCCCCTTATTCCTTTCCTGCATCCGGAATCTTAGGAAGCCTTCTTTTAAATTCTGAGTCTGTGCAGTTAATGTCCATGATAAGGATACTTTTAAAAACAATTTGAACCATGAGACTGTTACCTATTAAAACCTTTTTAAAAATTGGTGATAAGCTGTATCACTAGGAGAAGAGCGTATTCTAAATCCAGCTCCAATTACTGTTGAGAAATACACTTTCTCTTCTTTATTAAAGCTTGAAGGAATAATTTCTTGAGTATAGAGTGGTATGCAAATTAGCACCTTGCTACTACTGATATTTTACATTATGTGAGATTATCTATTATATCTCTCAGTAGTTATTTATGCCAGGAAGTCACCTAGAATAACCCAGAGTCATCTCAACTCTTAAAGAGGGTTAAGATCGCCCTCAGAATAATATTCTAGCATGGCACTGGGTACCATGGTCTTTTCACACAAAACAAATCCTGATTGTGAAGGAAGTTAAGTTCAGGTTTGCCACCAGTCTGTTTGAGCCTTACTGTAAATTACAAAGTGTAATTCCTTTCTCTAGATATTTAACATCTAACAACTGCAAAACCATTCTCATATACTTATTCTGTTGGACCAAGATGTTTTACTGTCACCTACCACACGTTTTTTATAATAAATATCTCAAATCCTTGATAAGATGGCATTCCCTAGGGCTGGGCAGTAGACAACATGTCCAACCATACTGAGCAGCCCTGAGTAGGTTGTGTCAAGTAGTCAAGCATTCCCTCAAGGAGCAACACGGTGGCCAACAGGCCACAAGTATCACTACTGCAGCTCTTAGTTCGGCTGTTAAGGAGACAATTACACAGAGTTGGCTGTTAAGGAGACAATGATTCAATCCAAATAGATTCAGATAGTTGATTACCTACACAGATGCAAGGTCAGCAGTGGGGCAGCTCCTATGCCCCAAAGGATGAGACCAAAGCAGAGGGGACCAGATGATGGGTTCCACGGGCACTTAGCTCTGCCACTGAGGAAAAAACTCCAAACTACAGCCAAGCAGTTTTATAGCCTGCAGCCATATCCTTCAAGGTACTGAAAGTTCTGTATTTAACTGAGTTGAAGGAGGGTAGTGAAAAATGGCCTTGGCACTCTCCCTCAAGATTGGGATGGGTGGCTGGGCAATGGCCTCAAGGCAGTTCCTCACAAGTCAGCGTACCTCCCTAGTTTCAAAGGAATCACAAGGCATTCACCCCAAACTTGGATAAGGCTGTGGTTAAGCTTTGCCTTCAAGGCCTACGTGAAGACATGCATGTCACCAGGTGCCAGGTTGGAACTATTTCCCTATATTCATGAAATATGGCTGAATTCACACATATTTGAGAGCTCAATGGACAAGAAAGACCAGGAGGAAGTAAAGAGCCTAAAATAAACCGAACTTATTGACATACTGACTAGAAGGGACAGGAAGTGATCTGAAGAAGGATTTGTGCAATTGGCTGCAAAAAAGTTCCAACACTCTACACTGCTTTTTGGAGAGGGTCAGGGAGAAGATGGCTTTGTCTAGAAAGGGGATGGAAGACAGATACCAAAACAGCAGGCTTACCTACCCCCTCTGCTTGTCCCTTGAAGGTCTTCCACTTCAGCATGGTACTACCCCCAAAAATGAAGCTACTGCTATTCCTGTCTTCCCAGATGGCCATCTTTATCCTGTTCATCCATCTCTACAGCTACAACTTCAACTCCCAGAATATGAAGGAGGAACCCAAGCCCACACACATGCATGTGCTGGTCCTGTCTTCGTGGCGCTCTGGCTCTTCTTTTGTGGGGCAGCTTTTTGCACAGCACCCAGATGTCTTCTACCTGATGGAGCCTGCCTGGCACGTCTGGATGACCTTCACACAAAGCACTGCCCAAAGGCTGCACATGGCAGTGCGGGATCTGATACGGGCTGTCTTTCTGTGTGACATGAGTGTCTTTGACGCCTACATGAAACCTGGGCCCCGAAAACAGTCCAGCCTCTTCCAGTGGTACACCAGCCGTGCCCTGTGTTCCCCACCTGCCTGCAACGTCTTGCCACAAGATGAGACCATATCCCAGTCTGACTGCAAGATTCTGTGCCATCAACAGCCCTTTGAGGTGGTAGAGAAGGCCTGCCACTCCCACAGCCACGTTGTGCTCAAGGAGGTGCGCTTCTTCAACCTGCAGGTGCTCTACCCACTGCTGAGAGACCCTTCCCTTAATCTGCACATTGTACATCTAGTCCGGGACCCCCGGGCGGTATTCCGTTCCCGAGAACGCACTGCGCAGGATCTCATGATTGACAGCCACATTGTGATGGGGCAGGACTGGCAGAAACTCAAGAAGGAGGATCAACCATACTATGCAATGCAAGTCATCTGCCAAAGCCAGCTGGAGATCTACAAGGCTGTGCAGTCCTTGCCCAAAGTCCTAAGGCAGCGCTACCTGCTCATGCGCTATGAGGACTTGGCCCGGGACCCCCTGGCCCAGACTGCCCGAATGTATGAATATGTAGGGTTGAAATTCTTGCCCCAGCTCCAGACCTGGGTGTACAATATCACTCGAGGCAAGGGCATGGGGGAGCACGCCTTCCAGACAAACGCCAGGAACGCCCTGAGTGTCTCTCAGGCCTGGCGCTGGTCCCTGCCTTACGAAAAGGTTTCTCGACTTCAGAAAGTCTGTGGGAATACCATGAATTTGCTGGGCTACCACCTTGCCACATCTGAGCAAGAGCAGAAAAACCTATCACTGGATCTTTTGTCTACTTGGAGTCCCTACCAGCAAATCTACCAAGAGGGTTGAGGAGGTTCTGTCTCCACCTGGCACCAGCTTCAGCCACATTAACTGAAGGCTGCTTCTGAGTCTTGATTGTGTGTGTCGGTGTATGCGTGAGTATGAGTTGTGCCCACACGTGTTCAACTCGAGAAATCTTTGCTCATGTCTAGAAAAGAGACTCAGGACTCACTTATGTGAGTGGCACATTCCACCATCAAAATGGGAGTAATGCCTTTCCTCTCTTCTTGACCTTCTTATCTGTGTATACCTCAGAGACTTCGTGGCCTGGGTCCTCTGTGGCACCATACAGTATCACTGGAGTAAATCCATAGACCTCTTGGTTCACATCTTGCCCAGCAGGACAGGACAGAGATGGGAAAGACCAGGGAAATGGGTCTGTCACCAAAGGGCCCATCAGCACATTCAACAGACATGTGAACTCTGAGCCCTCAGAGCTCCCTATGGATTCAAAAGAGAATGGGGAACAGGGCTGGATGCTTACCTGTGAGCTTGGCCATCACAGCTACCAGTTACCACAAATATGAAACAAAACCTCTGCGCAACAGCAAGCTTTTAAGTTTATGGCATGACTGGGCCTGATTTGGACATCTGAGTTCCCCTCAGTGTTTACCTGTGAAGCTGCCATCTGTTAATACTAAAACCTGTTAACACTTAAATTCCAAAATAAGATTCTGTTTGGAGTGCACCTTTTTATGTTTTCTAATTACTTAGTAGTAAATGCTCATTCACATGGGTTCCTAACTAAGAGCATAATCATCTTTATAGATTTTAAAAAATAATTGTTATTATCTATCACCCACATACAGAAAAAATTGCTATGATAGTGTCTGGTTTAGATGATGTACTAATTCTAAACTGATCAATACTAATCGATACATTGCCCTCTTAAGAATTTAAATGGAGAATAGAAAGTAGACAGCCAGGGGCTAAGCCCTTTCTTGTGTGAAGCAGAAGTTGTAATAATACCAGAGTCATCACTCAAGATTCTAGAGTTCTTTGACTATCACCCCTCAGTCAGAGGACCTCGGTTATAGTATGATTGGTTCTATTCAGCTCTTCCTGATCCCCTCCCCTAACAAGAAAAGTTGTTTCTCACAGTCTTTGCAGCATTCCCCAGATCTACTTGCGTATCGGAATCACCTGTTAAAAATATGTTTTGCTGTGCCCGACCTCAGATCTGCTGGAACTGGAATCTCCCAGGGGAGGCTGGGACTCTGTATGTTTATCAAGTGACCCTGGGTGACTCTTCCACAGCCAGCCTGATAATACACAGTACACCCTGCCCTGGGCAGCAGCACTGTTTGCCTTCTTGCTTCACGACAGGTGATTTTTCAGCCATGCTGAGTATCTCGGCCATTCACTCCTGACCTGGGTGCTGTCCTTAGATTAGAAGGAATAGGAGGAAGGTCTATATATGTCTGGAACACTGTGGACTTCTGAGTCCTGACTTTTCAAATATTTCACTTTATTCACATCTGAGAGATAGCCATCATTTCATCTTTCCTTTTGTTCTCACTCCCACTTCTGACATGGTCCTCACCTCACAAAGTTCCCTCAGTGTCATACGGGCATTCTGCCACTCAATTCTGCTGAGTAGCCATAGGGCTGCGCCACTGCCTGAGACACCTTTGCCAGCTGGGTCTTTAAAGTTAATTTATATGGCTTTAGAGGAGTGAATTTATTCTAATATCCAGATCCAAGCCACTCTAGACCCTCTTGAGAGCCTGGGATCTCCCAGGAAAATGCTTCTTGCCTCTACAAACCTTCCAAAACTATGAAAGAGTAAAATCTCCCCAACATTGAAAATGAGGCCAGGGCAGTATGTAAGAGTGCAAACAGAGTGAAGAGGGCCAGTGAGGGGGAGAGACAGTGATAGACTCAACCATCTCTGATGTGTCCTTTGAAATTCCAGCCTTCTACCTGAATTGTCTTAAAGTTAGGAACTTAGGAACCTAAGTTCTAATCTCTATGGGATGCTGGAGTACAGAGCTGTTTGCTTTTCCATCTCCAAAAGAATCGCCCCATCCCAAGACAAGGAAAGAGATTAGCCATGTGGAAATCGCAGAATCTTAAGTCTACTTTAAAACAGTTTTAAATTTCCTATATTGTAAGTCTTAATGTCAGATGAGGTCCAGACAGCTAGTAGCCATCCTCTTGAAGGACAGTCTATACAATATCCTATATGAGCCACTGGTAGTTGTTTTGATTTAAATTAATAAAAATTAAATAAAAATTCAGTTCCTCAGTTGCACTAGCGATGTTTCTAGTGATCAGTAGCCACATGTGGTTAGTGGCTACTATATTAGCATAGATATAGATCATTTCCATCATTGCAAAAGTTCTATTGGACAGCTCTGGTCTAAATTAATTTGTATTTTTGTGTAGCATCTTATCTTTAACCTCAAACCTCACCACCGCCCATAAAATTTTGGAAAATACATGATAATACTGTAACAGCATTCTTACATAAGACTGCATAGTATAAAATCATGCTATGTAACATCTAAAACTCTGACCTAGTGTTGAGTGAGGCTTAGCGAGCAATCAAACGTCTCCTATTGAAGCATTCAGGCGGCTGGCACTGGAATTCAGTGATGTCGAGTGGCAGTATACTCAATTACAGAACACGGGGAATCTGAGGAGCTGAGAGCTCATGACAAGTGTAGAGGACTGTGTTCTGCTAAACGTCCTTTCCACTTTGGAGACATCACTTGCAGCCCTCAACCCCAACAGCAGGAAGGCATTTGTTTGGGGTCAGCCTAGTGCCAGACACATAGCAGCTTCTCACTAGACCCTTATTGATTCAGCTGCATGGGGTCTAAGGATGAGTTTGAACACAGATAAGGGATGAATTTGATCTCAATTTCTCAGGGGTAGTATTCAAGTTTGGGGAATGAGCTCTTTCATGTCTAGAGAAAACATAATGGCCTGAAATGCCTAATTACAGGAGAGCAATGGCTGCTTTTACAAAAAGCCACTCTGGGCAAGTGCACTAAGCCCTCCACTTTGGGGAGAGAAGGGAGCCCCAATTTTTAAAATATTTTTTTCAGAGGGTAAGAAAAGGCTAGTTTTGAAACAAAGGGACTTTGTTTGTAATTTAACTGTGTTATTTATGTGCCTTCATTTTCTACATAACGAGAGCAACTGTTAAGTTTTTAGTAACTTTTAATTAAAATTATATTCTTTTCACCTTATGAATAGTAGTTATGGAGAAAGATGAGAAGATAGACTCAATTTCTGATTATTTTTGTGCAAAAATCTGCCATTGTATTGTCTGTAACATGTTTCTTTACAGAATAAAAGTTTATAATTTACTATGTGGTTTAGACCTGAGCTAAATATAAATTAATTTACCTGACTATGCATCTTATCATGACTCTATTAAATTGCTTCACAGACCAGCAAGGGAAAATTAAAAATAAGCATAGTTGAGTAACATAGGCCAGTTACCAATAAACCTCCGGCAGGCACTAGCTGGAGATCCCCAGTACCCTGGCATTTCTGTCGAGGGCTATGCCCCTCTTCTGCATAAATGTTCCGGATCATTCAGAGAAAGATTATTTTTTAAAAGCAGTATTGAGGAAAAAGTTTGGAGAAAAAGCCTGAGTAAGGAGCTTGAATCAGTTAAAGGGTTTCTTCCTTCATTCCATACATTTACTGGTCATCTGCTAAATGCCAAAGAATGTTCTAGGTGCTATGAATACAGCAGCAAACACAGCAGGCAAAACCCCTCCCTTCATGCAGCTTATATTGAGTCTGTTGGGAGTAAAGGAACAAACAATAAATGTGTCAGGTGATGATAAGAACTATGGGGAAGAATAAAGCTGGGTAAGGGGTGGGAAACTTTTTTAAAGAGGGTAATAAGGGTTATCTTTGCTGAGAAAGTGCTGTTTGAATGCTTCCCTCGTGAAGCAGAGATCTGGGACAAAGTGCCGTAGTAAAAGCCAATGTCAATATGGGAAGAATCAGTAAGGGTCTAGTGAGAACCTGCTACATGCCCGGCACTAGGCTGAGTATTGTGGAGGATACAGCAGTGCAGACGTTACAGCAAGGACAGCATGACACAGAGGTTGTGCGTTCATGAGCACGCGAGGTCTGGAACCAGGATGCCTGGGTGACTTTGCTTTACCAGCTGGGTGACCTGAGCAAGTCCCTTAACACCTCCATGTCTCAGTTCCCTTAACTGTAGGGTGGGCAGGATAATAGCAGTACTGACTCCTTGGAGTTGCTAGGAGGGCATCATAACGAGTGAGTATACGGAACACCCTTAGAAAGTATGTGGTGCTCACTAATGGCAGCTGTGACTCTCTTGGTAACAATGCTGATCTCAGCTCTCAAGGACTGTCTTCCATCCTTTCTGGTAACATCTTTATTATAGTGATATTTAACAGAAGATCACAATCCTTTCACGGCATTTCTGCCCATCCTGATACCATTAGAAGATTGACAATTTTCTGATATTCTAATTTCTCAGCACCAGTAGTTCTCAAGCAGCAGTGATTTTGTCCTGCAGGGGACATTTGTCCCGCAGGGGACAAATGTCTAGAGACATTTTTGGTTGTCACACTTGGAGGGGTGGGTTGTTACTGGTATCTAGTAGGAAGGGGCCTGGGATGCTGCTAAACGTCCTACAATGTACAGGAAAGCCCTCCCTGGACTAATATATGAAGGACAAAGAGCTGATAATTCCAATAAATTTCTCTTCCATCCTCAATTACATTCAACCTCATTCAAATGGTATCCCACTAGGCCAAACGTCTTGACTGGCAAGATGTCATAGCCTGAACTCTTTTGATATGCACTCAAGTCATCTCAAAGGGAATAGAGGACACATTATAAAAACACAGAGCAGCATCACAGAGGTCTGATGAGAGGAAGTGAGTGCAGCCAGGCTTCCCAGGACCAGTCGCTCACTGGCCAATGTATGCCTTAACAGGCCTTGGCTTATGTTCATCCTCATTCAGTTAACTATAGCTTGAAGAAAAGAGTTTAAAGGGGCAAAACATGGTCATTTAGGGCCTCGGGGAAGATGGGAAGGACAAATGAAGCCAGAAACAGACACTGTGCTAAACAAATGAGTTGTCAAACACATCTGGGAACAGAAGAATCATTTACAAATATCAAAAAGTTCCATAGGCATGGGATGTAAACCACAGTTTCTCAATCTTTTTTTTCAATATCACCCTCGACCCTCAAAAAGCCTTCTTAGGTATTTTTTCCCTAGTTGCTCCCCCACTGTGAAATTCTTTTTTATTGAAGTGTAGTCAGTTTACAATTATTTTTTATTGAATAATAGTCAGTTTACAATACCACGAAATGTTAATACCACAAATAAACTGCATATCTGTTTTTGTATGGTGGCCCTTTGGAGGGTCACAATCCATTGTGGTATCCACTTTTTTTTTTTTTTGGCCTCCCAAGAACTGCTTTTTACCCCCTTGGTGGTAATTCCTCCTCCACTGATGCAAGATTTAGACCACAGTTCCTCATATTTTTTAAGCTCGTTTTCCACCCAGCTCCTTTCTTTTTTTCCTTAACATGTCTTTTTATTCATTATCTCTCTAAACTGTGTTCCTTGCTCAACAATAATTGAAAGTGATTATGCAAAATAACACATACGAGAGCAACTTGTAAACTGTAAATGCCATGAAAATGTTGGTTAGCAGTGGTAAAAATACTACAAGTCACTTTGACTGCTACCCTCCTAGCCAGCCCTAATCCTAACCATCTGGAATGGTCTGACTCATTGTCAGTTTTCATGTCTACTCCTTATCGTCCTGGAAGAACAATAAGGAAGCTAGTTTATAGCTTGTTTCTTTTCTAAGTTTATGACAAGAACTGATGACAAATGGAACAAGTACATGGAATAGGTTCATAAAGAATAACATACATTTCAGGAAAAGTTAGTTACTGCTCTACACTAAACCAATGTGGATATAAGCGGCTAACTACAAATAATTTAAACATGAATGAAAAGAAAGGCTCCTGTCCTTCTATACAGCAGTAAGGTGAGTGATTATCTGATCCATCATAAACCAAACTATGAGATCTTAGCAGATGCAACACACACAAGCACACACACACGCACAACACTCTAGATGCAAATAAGCTTGAAAAAGTCCACTACACCAAATTTAACTAGCTTTTCAAATGTAAAACCCTCAGAACTTCAAATATGTTAACCTACATATTAAGAAGGGATTAGGGTGTATAGCAGTTCTCCCAAACTTCTTTGACCAAGGACATTTTTTCCCTTGATATATCTTTTAATATTTGTCAGGAAAGTGTTTTGACAAAGACCACTTGGAGAAACACTGAGTTGTGTGCATGGCCCATCTGGTTTCTCCTTGCCTTCTCCCAAGCCCAAGCAGACAGATGTTGAATGGAGAAAATCACACGAGGGCAGCTGAATTCACATAGAATTATGACCACCTCCATCAGCTTATGATCACGTCAGCCCTCACCTGCAACCCTTTTCCCCTCTCTGCAAGAACTTTCCCCTACCATCTTCGGATCACATACCTTTCCCTCCTTCCCAGAGAAAAGAAAAGCCATCAAATATGGACTTCTGAACTCCTCCATGCAAACATCCAAACCTCCCTTAGCATCCTGTCTGCCTTCACATATTTTGTTACAATATAGACGTGGTTCTATCTTCTGTTTAAGACAATCAGAGCTCTGGATTCCATCCCTCTCTAATCCTTTTCAAGAACTGTATGTTTTTATTACTCATTGCCTCTCTTCTGAACTCAACTTCTCTTCAGCTGAATTCCTCTCTTTGACTTTTTACCTTACTCAATTCTCTCCCTTCTTGAAAAAACTCTCCCTCACTCCCCTATCCTTAT